TATTATTAATATTATTACTGATAAATCTCTCCACAGTAATCATCATCATCGTTTTTATTTCATGTTAGACGTGAGTATCAAGGGCAGGGCTGGCTGAAGAAACACCCTTTGAGCCCAGCAGTCCTGCTCTGTAGCTTGCCAAAAGGGCCTTTGGTCTGTTGATCACTGATAACTTGTCAGTCTCTGTGATGTTTATATAAATGCTGAAGTTCAGCTGTTCAAAGGTTCTGTGTACATGCACACTGCATGCACAGTGAGACCACTTGAACTCAAATGCCCCTTACTGTATGTAGAATATTTGCTCCTGTGATTCACAGTTGTACAATATTACGCCGTAAAATAATTGAATATTCTTCTGACACATTTATTTTGTTGCCTTATTTATGTTCTCACACACACGCTTGCTTACAATCTTTGTTAAATGTTCTCTGTTTGGTGCTCACTGTATTTCACTGTCTTTCTGGTGCAATGAACATTTTTATCTAATCGTAAACTTCAAAAGGACGTAGCACAGTACCGATAACAGCATTTACAATAATAATAATAATAACTACAGCCTGAAAAATACAGTGGAGGTAATGTGTCTCTGATACCTTCTGAACATTATAAGCTTCTCAATGGCTGTTGTTTTTTTTGTTGCTTTGTAAAGTGTTGTTTGATTGAATCGTCAGCCACCTGTAGTGTAAGCCTCAGCATCAAACACCCCATTGTATTTAGGTTATCATTAGTGAGGCTGGATTAAGCTCATTTCTGTTATGTTTTTTAACCACACCACTTGATTTTCATCAATAAACGTGTTTGTCAGTGGACTGTAGTCATCATTTAATAAACCGGTGTGATCTTTTTTAAATTATTGGTAGGGGATTGGAGACTCTTGCCCTTTGCAAAGTGTTCAGTCCTAAATTTAGCTGCAAAGTTTAGAGGGTTTACAAAGTAGAAGAAACCCGAGACAATATGCGAGCAGCACGCGGTGAAGGTCGCAACGTACAACAACTCTCGTCAAGCAGATGTGTGATAGAATATTTAGTGACAATACGATTATTATATTAGCAGTAGTCCGGTATGATGTAGTAGCCAAATATTCAATTGCAAAACAGTCAACAATGCCCTGATTTTATAGGCCTTTAACACACGTTTTATTGTATAGTTTTGTTTTCAGTTTTCAGCTGAATTTCACACGTTAACTCGGCTGTAATGTTTGCTGTATTGTCCTTGTATGTATTTCTCTCATGTTATCTGCCCACACTCCAAAATTGTGCTGTCCCCAAAATACAGACCCTCTTTTTGAGTCTTAGTGGAATATACTATAAACAAGCAGAAATGAGCTGTTAATAAAGATAATCATTGTATTCATCTTTGGTCGATATCACTTTATGCTGTTTTATTTTTCATTATGCACAGATGACTCAGCTATAGTGTTTTCCTGGATGCCACACTGAGGGAGACACTTCCTAAAAGATCTGTCTGTCTGTTCCTTATTCTACGTTTTGATAATCTCTTTTCCACACACGTCAGGTTTCATTTGCTCTAGAAACTCTTCATCGTAGAGACAGATGATGAAGTGATGAAGGGCCTGTGATCCTGGACATTAATAGAAGGAAACGTATTTAAAAACCATTCATCCACAATGAAATTGAAGTTGTCAGTGTAAGCCTTATGTGTGCTTTACTATGGTATGTTGTACGTAACCAGTCTAAAGTGGATCTAGTACATTTACACAGTGTCATGTGGATAATAAGCTGTGGACTGTAGAGTCAGGCTGAGGTCACGAGGTCAGAGTGTGTGACCTTTTTACATTACATTTACCTTGCACACTTTAGTTTGCAGGTATTTCCTCATTCTTATTACAAGGGATATCGATATTTCCACAGCTCAGTAGTTTCTTGAACTGTAGTAGGTGATTTGGTTTATTCATGAGAATATTTTAACACTTACTTGACTATAAAGTCAATCTGTATGATAATGAATAACTAAACCAATTCATTCTTCAGCTTTAAACCAGTTCTTTTTAGAAGAGAGCAACACGTAAAACACAAGAGGTTTTAACATGGTTCACAGACAGTTGACATGATATTACATTGGGTCCTTAAATAAGAGGTTTGCTAGTGATTAATCAGTCGAACTGTTTTGTAACACTAGATAAATATGAATAAAACTAATAGGCTGAAAATAAGAAGAAACTAACAACAACAAGCCATTGGCCAGGTGAATTAACCTTTTTAAAAAGCATTGCATATGTAGTCAAAAGCAGAAATAACGGTAATACAAATGGTAAATAAAATGTGCATTGTTGTTTATAATATAATTTTCTTGAATGATATTAATATTTTCTCACCTTATTGGGTGTTTATTATGGTGGAAATCATGACTTGGTGAACAAGGGAGTGATTCTGTCAACAGTATGTTTCAGACCCAGATTAACTCTTCTGGACTCTGGACCTTCTGAATGGATTATAATGTTTGTTTCATTAAAACTTGTGCCCACTGAGCTCTCTACGTCAGTGTGGTATCCTCACGTCACATGAGGAGTTAATCTCGAGCATTAGGTCGACAGCATGTTACAGGAGCATGGCTAATTCGGCCGTCACATTAGTGAGACCAGTGGCTTTCATGAGGCCATGAAAATGGCACATACGACCTTGTAAGGATACATTAGTGTCTACTACTGAAGCCCTGTGTCCTCCTTTGACAAGTGCTGATCCACAATGTTATACTGTCTATGAGGGAAGTAACTGTTTTCCAGTGCAGTGTGCACAGATGAACTAATTATTCACCTGATATGGTTTTCTTTGCAGCTCATGGTGGGGTGGAGTGCAGATGGGTCCCCCCGATCCCATCCTGGGGGTGACTGAGGCCTTTAAGAGGGACACCAACCCCAAGAAGATGAACCTGGGAGTGGGAGCCTACAGGGATGACCAGGGCAAGCCCTTTGTGCTGAGTTGTGTCCGCAAGGTATAACTGTCCCCAAGCCTCCCACTGAATCCACTACTTTTTTCTCATGTGACGCACATGCACACAGTGGTTCCCCCGTGCAATTCAGAAGTTTCCCTTCACCTGAGAGATGAAAGCAGTCATGTCATTAGCCTTGTTCAAGGTGAACTGCACTTCGCCTGGAAAGTGGACGAGATCAGGGAGCAGCAGAAGGAGGAGGTGACAAAAAGCTGTAGTCAGCTCAGGCAGTTTCCAGCAGCCCTCCGTCTGACCCATCTGTAGCCTACTTGTAGTTTTTAGGCCATGTTTCGGGTAAATAGATATAATATTATTAACCACACAAGATGTTTGTTAACAGATTAAACCTTCATTGCACAACATGGGACTTACAGGCTGAAATCTAGTGTTAAAGATTACAATTACACAGAAAATTAGGATTTCCTAAAAAACAAAGAGTTTGTGATAAAAAGAGGTGACAGGCAGGTGTTTCTTATCGTGCCCAAGGTCTTGCAGTCGGTGGAGAGCAACTGTGGCACCTGGCTCTAAAAACTGCAGCCGTCTCAGTCTTGTGAGGTTAGCGTTGCCCACATGTGCATGACATCAGAGCAAGTCGGCATTGAGTTGGACGCAAATCTAATCGGCAGGAATTGTGCAGCGATCACTGGTGATTGATTTTGTGCAGGCCTGGTTCATGTCCAACGAGCATATTGAATCTTAGTTTCTTATGGCAGTGAACTCAAAGAGAACAGTACTCCACTATCAGACTATGTGACCTTTAAAGCTTCATGCCTGTAGGGGACACTCAGGGAGCTGGAGGGTTTACATTTTCACCGGGTTAAGAGGTTGTTGCTGGTCAGGATCTCTCTCATTGAAGCATTCTGTGTCATCCTGAGCTTCTGTCGCCCTGTAGAACATCATCATTTCACACACGTTAATAATTAATAATTTCTGCTTTATCACCATGATAAAGTGTGTATGCATTTTATTTGTGTCTAACAACGTGTTATCTAAATCATAGATGTTTTATGTACAATGAAGGCATACCAGTCAAGGAAATTACAGTAGTTATGTTTTACACCTTTTGATTTTCACACTTTCCTTCCAGGCAGAGGCTATTATTACATCCAAACAGCTGGATAAGGAGTACCTTCCCATTGGTGGTTTGGGGGAGTTTAACAAGGCCTGTGCCGAACTCGCTCTTGGTGCTAATAGTGATGTCTTGAAGAGTGGCAGGGTAAGTTAAGTGGCGTTAACTACTCTAAACTGTATAAAGTTCAAATGATTTCTGACATTTTAAGTTCAGTTTTCCTCCCCCGACAGAACATAACTGTCCAAACCATCTCAGGAACTGGGTCTTTGCGCATTGGAGCCAACTTCTTGGTGAGGTTCTCTTGTATTTATCACTTAACACAAACAAATATCGAGGTCGGGCTGGTCATCTCACCAGATGTTTCCTTTGTCACAGTCTCGTTTCCATGGAGGTCCACGTGATGTGTACCTGCCCAAACCCTCCTGGGGAAACCACACACCCATCTTCAGAGACGCTGGCATGCAGCTCAAAGCCTACAGATACTACGACCCCTCCACCTGTGGCTTTGACTTCAAAGGAGCTCTGGATGACATCTCTGTAAGACATTATTGATGGACTAGCCAGGAATATGCGTAAAGATGATAAGAAACATTTTCAAACATTATATTCCAATTATCAGAAGAGACATGAAGGGACTTTGTTGACAGTTAATCACATTTTGTAATTATTGGTCTGTAATGTAATGAGTTATACGTATGGAAGCCAGTGCTACAGTGGAAATTAAGAGAGTCTGTACTTTACCTGGTATTGTCGGTTGACTAACCAAAGCTTTTTTTATCTCTCAGAAAATCCCAGAGCAGAGCGTGATCATGTTGCATGCTTGTGCCCACAACCCCACTGGTGTGGACCCCAGACCTGAGCAGTGGAAGGAGATTTCTGACATTGTAAAGGTGAGTGCTCCTCACCTCAGTAAAGCTCTGTGAAGTTTTTGCAGTTAAATTCTGATAAAATGTACTTACACATTTTCTATTATCTCAAAATCTTTGACAGAACAAAAGCCACAGTTGATAAGTACTGACCCTTATCTGTCTGTTATCACTTTATTAACTCTCTCTCTGTCTCCTGTGCCCTACCCCTTCTTTCATCTTATAGAAAAGGAACCTGCTCGTGTTCTTTGACATGGCCTATCAGGGCTTTGCAAGTGGAGACATCGATCGTGATGCCTGGGCTGTGCGCTACTTCATTGAGCAGGGTCACAACATCGTGCTGTCCCAGTCCTTCGCCAAGAACATGGGTCTTTATGGTCAGTCAGAATTCAGTACAAGGTCTTCTTAAAGAAAACATTAATAAAAACAACATACAGATAACAGCACAGACATGAAATTAAACATTTTATTGAAACTGTGTAAAAATTAGAAATGGTACTGGTAAGTTTAACTTGTATTGGACGGGGTCTGTTCATTTCAGCATCTGGTTTGTCTGTTCGATTTGGGGTTTGACCAAACTGCAGAATCTTTTGAAATTCAAGTTGTTAAATTATTAAATAAAAATTAAGTGGAAGATGGAGATTAATTTATGGAAGCCAGGATGAGTGCATGTCTGGATGTGGCATGAGAGAACAAAAAACTTACATAGTGACTGATCAGGTGAAGTATAGCTTGTGTTTTACCACCACCCAGTGGTAAAAACTAGTTGGTGAAACATGGTTTTATTCCAATAATTATGCAGGATTTGAAAACACTGAATATATTTTTATTTAGCTGCTGAGCAAAAAAAACACAGTTGAGATCGTTCTCTTTCCCTTCATGATCATAATGTGATTTAAGTTTTCCTGTTTCACAGACACGAGTAGGTCATCCTCACTGTAAATCACTTTGTTTAACACTCGTTGATATTCACAGGTGAGCGTGTGGGAGGCTTCACTGTGGTGTGTAACGACGCAGAAGAGGCAAAGAGGGTGGAGTCTCAACTTAAGATTCTCATCAGGCCCATTTACTCCAACCCACCAATGAATGGAGCCAGAATTGCAGCAACCATTCTCAACACACCAGACCTGCGCTCCATTTGGTATGTACCTATAGATGCACATATCCACACAGATATTAGCTGAACCTAGTTTGGATGTTTGTAAAAGCACTTCAGCTTCAATATCTTCATCTTTCATATGCACCAAACCGTTCAAGATACATTCTTAAATATATTTCTTGATCCGTTTACCCTGCTGTCGTCCAGGCTGGAGGAGGTCCATGGTATGGCTAACCGCATCATTAAGATGAGGGAGCAGCTGGTGGCTGGTCTGAAAAAGGAGGGCTCCTCCCACAACTGGCAGCACGTCATCGACCAGATCGGGATGTTCTGCTTCACAGGCCTCAAACCCGAACAGGTACACACACTCACACATCATCGATACCACTCTCATATATGTCTGTTAAATATAAAGCTGCAGCCAGGACCAGTAACTTCCTGGAGTTTCTGCAGGTAACTGCTCAGAGCAAAGAAATAGTCCAGCTCATAACCCCCCCATAAAACAGCAAATTGGTCATTTTTACTCTGCAGATTTTATACTGATTAAACAAGGAAGATATAATGTGTAAATTAATGATCTTTAGAAGGGCTGGTGGGTAGATTTTCCTACTGTTGGACACAGACTGGCTTGCAGTTTCCCCATGTTTCCAGTCTCTGTGCTAAGTCATGTTGAGCATCTCTTTATTAAATGGGAGCTATTATCATTTGTTTGCAATTACTTTTTTCTTCTCTCAGGACTTTTCTCACTGGTCCTAAAAACTGCTGTTAAACTGTTATTAAGCCAATCTTTAAAAAGAACAAACCTCACTAATGAACAATTACCAGCCCATATCAAACACTTTATTTTGATAATTGGCCCTGAACAACTATTTACATTTTTTTCGATTCAGGATTTCAACCACAGCACAGGCTGCTCTCGTTAAGGTCTTTAATAACGTAATATTATTAGTCAGTGCTGTGTATATTACTAGACAGATTGGAAAACTACTACTACTTTGTGTCAATAATTAATTACTTAATAAGTAATTACATATCTGAACGTAAACAAATCACGCGCAAAGTGCCCCAAGGCTCCATTCTCGGGCCTCTTCTGTTCAACGTCTACATTTTCCCGCAAGTTCATATTATGGAAAACAACAAGATATCTTTTTTTATGCAGAAGGAAACACTTGTCCTTCCTTTATCTTCAGTATGCTCAACTACTGTAAGGCTGTCTTTGTTTGTTTAAAAGTCGATCAGACAGCTGCAGCTGATGTCATAAAGTTTGTTGAGATACAAAGAGGGAATGTTTGTTGTTAAAATACTGACACCGTGTGTGTTGATTCATTTTTCTGCAGGTTGAGCGTCTGACAAAGGAGTTTTCAGTGTACATGACCAAGGATGGCAGAATTTCCATGGCAGGCGTGACCTCTGGGAACGTGGGCTACCTGGCACAGGGGATCCATGCGGTCACCAAGTAGAGTGGATCCTGCTGGGAGAGCTACGAAATCAAAGTGTTGAAGAGGAGCTTTATGCGTCACTAATTCTCTGTCTCCTCCATTCCACCTTTAGAAAAGAGCTCGATATTTAGTTAGACATTTTCTTGATTGGATTTCCTGAGTTCAACTTGGAACGGTTGCTGCTGTTAAACATTTTAGTTTCTGGTTCCTTTTTAACATTTCACTGAACCGGCTCCCTCGCCAAATTATAAAAGACAGGATTTTCTCCCACGTCTGATGGATCATTTTTGCTTATTTATTATGTGGAATCAACGGTTGGCTGTGCATTTGTGTCCTCCTAAATGTGTGCTGTTTATCTGCTCTCACTCACTATAAAACATCAAGGAACCAACATCGGGGTAATGTCAGACTGTGCACTAGTTTTACTTTCAAGATGAGATCTCTGTTGCTATATGGGAAAGCCTGTAGAAAATGTGAGTTCATCATAAGATGTTCTCTGACTGAAGAGACGAGCAAATGTGAGAAAACATGAATCCCAGAAATCAATAATAATAATATGTAAGTCTGTGAGAAACGTTAAATACACAAAAACACAAAATATTCACTCAAATTTTCTCGTTATTTTGAGATATAAAGTCGTTCTTTTGAGTCAGCTTCTTATTATAATGTCTCGTCCTTATCCAATAAAATAAAAAATAAAAAAACAATTCATATGAGTGTTTCCTGGTTTTTAAGATTTGCTGAAGTTTGAGGAACATTTAAAAGCAACCGATGTCTCCGGTTTTAATGTCACTTTCTACAGCACCCACCCACCCAGAGTTTCTCTCTAAGATGCTTTGTGTTACAAAGATTAATCATATGTGATAAAAATAAAACACATTGTTTTATCCACTGGAAGAAACTGCAGCTGCTGTCAGTTTCTGTACAGAAGAATCTCATCTGGCTGCTCTACTTTCATCTCCCTTCTCCCACCATCATCAGTCTGTCTCTGAACATCTGTGTTTTCTTCTTCAACTGCCGAGTATTTATATCAGGGTATTAGAATAATTGCCACATTTTTCTAACGGCGTGGTGAGGCCTGCGTTTGTCTGGCAGACAGAAAGAGGAGCGATGGCGCCGGCAGCTGTGGTGTCAGTGCTGTTTCAATAGTAACAGGTGCAACAGGGCTGCTTGTGGCTGAACACCAGAAAGACACTGGGTCCTGATTGTGAGCGGGAGACAGTCAATGTGAGTCGGATTGTAAGAACAACTCCGCTTTTATTACATGTTGTAGTCATTTAAACTCAGCATTTGTTTGTAACACATTTACAAATAAAGGTTGAGTTTATGGGATGTCCTGAAGCAGGACCTGGAAATAAGAAAAGCTGGTTAAATGCACAATAGATATTTATATCGAGAGCTAAAGTTAATATGATGATCTGCTCTGCTCAAAGGCCCCACAGCCGCATTCAATCAGAACCAGAACTAACTACAGGGTTTTCCAGTGCAGTGTGCATCTTTCACCTGACTATCTGAAGTTTAAGCCTTTAAAGCAACATTTTGAGAGGATACAAGGGAGAAGAGAAAAGAAGAGAGTGAATATGTGCTTTCAGTGGTTGGATAAAGAGTCTGGTTGAAATAAAGGCTGCAGACAGACGGCGAGCTGTTGCTAATATTAGCTGCTTGCTATGTCGGCAAGATGATGTTTGGCTGTTAGCAAAGTCACTAGTTTTTGATCATAAGTAATATAATCATGAGCATATTTTTGACAGTGAATATCAGTTCTTGCATATTGTAGCTTTGAAGGACCAGTGTGTGGGATTTAGTGCCATCTAGCGGTGAAGTTACAGATTGCAACCATTTGAATACTGCTCAGCCTTCCAGTTGTGTAGGACAAAGCTTATTACATTCTCTTATTTTACAATTATTCAATTAGTAGCTATTACACTATATTGCTACATAACACACCAAATGAAAAAAACATTTTGTCAAATAAAACCTGAGTCATACGTTACACCCTGGTGCCTCTTTCTATATATTGTGTCAAACTTCATGGCTAATAGTCTGCAGTCTCCCCAGCTAGGATAGCAACAGATTCCAAATCTGAAACAAACACTGAAAAGTCTCAGAGAGGAATGAAGGATTTAATAGTGCATGGACAGATTAATTTGCGGCTCACTTGAACACTTGTCCTGCAGCAAGAAAACAAAATGGCTCCTCTGATGTAAAGGTTGCTGACCGCCGGTGCAGTAGAAACTACGGTGGCCACGAAACTCGCAAAAAGAAAAAAAACAAAACAAGAAAAAGTTGCATCCAGAGAAAAACGGGTCGTGACCCAGCCGTTTAAAATGCTTCATTATCTCTCAGAAAAACAAAAACTATTTACAGGTGATTATACACTAATGAAAACATAGTTATGAATATTATATTTCTGACAATAGATCCTCCTTAGTGTTTCACTCTGGAGCTTTTAAAGGACGTCCACTGTATTACATAAACATAAGAAGCTCAAAAGCCGCAAAGCAAACAAGGAAATCCAACATGAAGACGGGCAGAATAAAGTAAACAAGGAAGCGTGAGAGTAAAACAGATAAACTCACAGAACAGAAGCCGTGGACAGCTGCCAGCTCTCTGGCCCGCTGCCCGACACATTCACACTGCCGAGAATAAAAGCGGGTAAAACATGTTTTAATGTTTCATACACACAGTTTGAAACTCACAACTTAGCAAAGATGTTTATGCACTGAGACGTCTGATGTAAAAACTACAGTAAATACAAGCTCTACTCGTCTTTCTTAGATATTCTTTATTGTCAAATTAACTAAATTATTACCTAAATTAACTTGTACAGGATCGACCGATATGAAAGCTGATATTGGAATGTATTTAATAGCTGCAACTACATTTAGTTGTTAATACTTTGGTTACATTTAAAAGAGTTTCTGAGTTTCTGCAACATTAAAGGTCCAGTCAGTCAGGATTCCCACTTTTAACAAATCATTTTCCAGGATAAAAGTAACAGTTCAAATCAAGTAGAACCTTTTTTAAAGCAGAAAATCTATAAAGTTAAATTGCTCAACAAGAACCATAAACATTATTAGGCTGTTTGTATGGAGATGATGATTTCCTCGTAGTTCTGGAAAAGATCACTGCAGTCAGTTTAATATTTGTATTAATAATGCATGCAACTGTACTAATTGAGTAACATTTGTTATTTATGTAGTTTGATAATAATTTCTACTATATATACAATGTACTTTTAGCTTGAGATAAACTATTTAAATTATTTAGTTGTAAGGGGAAATTTAGGCTTTAGGCCCAAAACTGCCACCGTGTTTCTGCAGTAGCCAGAAAGACAGACGGAGGTTTACGTTTGATATGCAGTTGTTGGCGAGCATAGTTTCTCCTTCGCGACTTGAAAGAGGAGGATGAAGTGAGCTGAATTCATAAAAGGATTTTCTCACAATTTTTGAGAGATTTCTTTTGACGACAAAGTATATTTTCTTTATCAAATAAAATAGTCAATTTTATTATTATTTTTCCCTCAATGCAGCCTCCTATGTTGGGCCAGATTTGGTCCCCATCTGGAAGTCGAGTTAGGAATTAAATAGTTTTTTGACTTTCAAAATAAAAGCATTCATCCCACTGAGGTATTTGTGGTGACATGTTGGTGAGCTTTGAGTCTGTGTTTTATCTTCATAGATTTACCCGGCGTCCCAACCCCTCCATATATGAGGTTGAGTCTATTCGAACGAGTGTGCTGAAGGCCAGTGACTTATCTGTGAGTGAAGCAGCAATGTGCCTGTGGACCAATTACCACTGC